GTTTGCATTGTATATTGTGGCAACGGCTGGTAATCCTGGTGCAGTACCATTGCGTGGTACCAATATGGTTGGAGTACCACGAAGTCAGGGTCCGCCTCCACCATATCATCAAACAACTCGATCCGCCAGTGTACCAATTGCGATTCAAAGTCCGAATCCATCGTCGCCCAACAATCCAACCAGCAATCTATCGTTACCATCACCGCGCGCGAGTTCAGCTCTGAATTCACCAGCAGACTGCAACAGACAGTTCCAGCTTGGTAATCAAAGGACCAGCCATCTGCCGGGACAGAGTCCGACGAGTCAGGATTCACCGAATCCAACAGTCGCCACGGCAGCTACAGCGGCCGTTACAACAACGCGGTTGAATCATAGCAATCCAGGAACACCAGTTTCTCATTCCCATATTGCTGCCCTTAGTCCCAGTGGTACTACTGCTCAAAAGGATACTTCGCTTGATTTTCCTACCAATCAACAACCAAACGGTAAATTTACTTGACGTTCTTTTATTTTTTATACAAATTTTTTTATTAATTTAATATAACTCAAGCAAATTTTTTACAATTTGTACGTAAATAATGTAAATAAATTTGTACGTCCGGTTTTTCGTTTTAGTGGATGGTATGTTTTGCCGAACGTTACAATCCTTAGCTCAACAAAAGCAGCAACATGCTGGAAACGTTAATGCGTCAGCCGTAAAAGAAGCAAACCTGATGCCCGTACCGAGTCCCCATCAACTTCAATACCTTAGCACGTTCGAAGGACAGGAATTGACCATTCAAAAACAACCTAATACAAGTTTAAAAGATGGCAATTCATCTACGTAAATATCTCTATTTCTTTTATTAATTTTTGAATAGTATATATAAATTGAGCAAGAGAAGCCTAATAGTCAAAACTTGCATTGTGATAATCTTTTTTTCAATTTTTGACAACAGGAACGCAGGCAATTCGTCGGAGATGCCCAATAGAATCTTGCCAGGAAGTCTAGATAGCAACAATCAATTCCCTACTAGATCGGAGGGTGCGAGTCCCGTTCAAATGGACAGTATGAATCGAGCCTTTGCAGGTTCTCTACACAGTCCCCACACGCCTCATACACCACATACGCCAGGTAGTGCTGCACCACACACTCCAGCGGACCCCGCGAAATCGGGCAATAAATCCAGCGCAAGCGCGCAAAGTAGTCCAACGCCGCATAACACCAGCATACCCGATAGTATGGGTCCACCACGAACGGTACCGGCGTCGCCTACCATGAAACCCGACACATCACCACCATCCGTGAAAGATACTCAGCAACAACAGCAACAAACGCAATCGCAACAGCCACCACAACCACAGCAGCAACAACCGCCGCCGCAGCAGCAACCCACGGTGGTGAATCCGAATAATTCTGGTAGCACGACGGTAGTATCATCGTTGAGCGGTCCCGCCGGTGCCGCTTCTTTCCCCTGTGGCAGGCCATCCATAAATGTGAGCCAACCATCTGACAACGTGCCTCTCAATCCCAATAACATCGGCGGTCGACTTGGCGGTTTGAACACCATGGGTACAAATTTCGATCCGATAACATCCCTGGCCCAAATGAGTCAGCAGCTGACAAATACGGCAGCGAGTAACTCGCTGGGCAACGAGCCTATGCATTCCGGCAACACGGCTGGCATGATGCCGTTCGGCAATCCGCATGCCGCCAGTATGCATATGATGCAAATGGGCGGCGAGATGAATGGAAGCTGTCATATGGGAGCGACTAGCGGTGAACCTGGTAACGAGGTTGGCGGAATGTGTATGGGTCTTGCAGGCCCACCAACGAGTTATAGTCCTACGACTTCGCATACGGGTAGCCCCGGTGGTGTTCCCAGCAAAATGGGACATCCGATGATGGGTGGCCACGGGATGATGGGTGGTCACTCAGGTGTCGGTGCGGCTGGTGCTGCTTATCCTGGTGGTGACCCTGGACACGCGCCTCCACCAAGACTGATGACCGGCCATGGGGTTGGGGGCCCCAGTCCTTACAACGGCGCGAATGTTCAGGTGAAACCGAACGCGCCCAACACTATACAATACTTGCCGGCCAGGCCAAATGTCGGACATGCGCCTCCTCGGGGCCCACCTAGTCTGGATTTCCTTCAGCGATTCACTAATCCGCTGTCCAATTTGGAGTCAAAAATGGGAGGAACACCTTCCGTGAATCTTCAGTACTTCCCGAACGGCTGCGTGCCGAACAGTATGGGGGGTCCGCATAGCGGCATGCCGTCCAATATGAATGCCGCCGGGATCCCAGGTATGGGCGCTTCACCCAGAATGGATGGACAATCCATGAACACCTCTGGCACCATGCACCCGTCCATGAGACCAGTCGGCAATATGCGACCACAACCGAATTTGATGCGGATGCAGCATATGGTAGGTGGCGGCGTCTTCCCAGGCGGTTCCATGGATTCCGATAAAGTCTTCCCGCCCGACATGGTGTCGCAAAATCTGCCGAATCAACCGAATCCGGGCATGTACGGCGTGTCCGGCAACAAGGCCAATCCGATGGGACTGGGACCGCCGCCCGACGCTACTCAGCCTCTACCGCCGAGTATGGGCGGCGCGACCAGCAACTTCAAAACCGGCCCATTCGTCGGCAGCGGACCCAGCATGTCTGACCCAAATTATGCTCAACAATTTCACAACTTCCAGCAGCAACTTTACGCCACTGGTACCAGAGGCAGCGGGCCGCCGCATCCTAATCTGCATCCACCGCCGAACTCGCATTCGCATCAACAATTTTTCATGCCGAAGTAAACGCTGCCCGGTATCGATTCATATCGCGACGATGACGATAACAGGAACGAGAACGAGAACGATGATGACGGGAACAAGGATGATTTTTACGGTGGCCTTTCATCCCTCTTTTTCTCTCTTTCTCAATATCTCTTTTGCTCTCTTTCTCTCTATCCATCTATCTCTATCTTTCGTCTCTATCAGGGATGTTTCTATTAATCACGCGAGATAATTCTGGAAGTGTAAACTGTGCTGACGATTTTGCGAAGGACAAAGAGAAAGAAGTAACGATGGATATTTCCGAGCATCGCTATGCTACTTTCGAGGATAAATCCTGACTGGCGTGCAAAAATTCTAGTTCTATTCTTGATTTCTGTACGACATTGACGTGTGTATTATATTAAGATCCTTTTTTCTTTTTTCTTTTCAATTTCTAGACTACAATTTGGTTGTATTTCCAAATGTGTTATCTCCACTTGGAAGTGTTGTCTCTAATCGAAATCTTCCAAAACAATTTGTAAATTCTAAATATTAACGGAAACGCGTGAGTTTTCTCCCATGCGTTCGTGTAAATATTGATGTACAATCTGGTTTCTTATTTTTTTTTCTTTTTATAGGAGTCGTTACTTCAGTGATCGAAAAGCACGTTGTTAGATTAAGAAATATGTTATTACAACTCGAATGTAAAAAAGAAATAAGAGAGGAAGAAAACAAGCGAGATCTCTTCTCTTCTTATACTACTTTGTTCATAATATGGTTGCTCGGGGTTAAAAGTAATCGTGTGCAAAATAGTGCATGGTAAGATGAATGAGAGAATTTTGGTACACCAGTGCCGTAATTCATCCTTCCTTTATCACTAAAATACTTAAACACAGTCAAACAAGCTCAAATTTATTATTGTACATATATACCATATACATATTATATATATATTATATATTTATATATATATATATATATATATATATATATATATATATATACACACACGTTACATATTCTATCTTCTTTTTCTCTTGCTGCACTCAATCCGCGCGTTGGAGACGCGAACCTAGTGCTGGTGGCCATGCGTCTTTTCCCGCTGCTCAGCCGCAGCAGCGAAGTTTGACACGCTCGGTCGTTTGCGAATTTGGGACACTCTAGCCATGAAAACCGAAAAGAAGCCCAACGAACCCAGCTGTTGTCCACCTACCACGGTTGTCAAGGATGAGCCTGACGCCGATCCGGTCAAAATCAAGGAGGAAGGTACAGGTGGGAATAACGACGATGCAACTGGAGAGGATACCTCTGAATGTCCAAGAGACTCTTGTTTGGATCCATCTAATGGTGAAGGTACTATGTCTGGGGAGACGCAAAACGCTAATGGGAATCAACCCATCTTGAATTCAGTCAAGCAGGAGGGTGACCCTAACAATCCCACCGATGATCTACCTGGTAAGATTAAGTTCATTTGTTTTTGTGATTATTTACTTTAGTTATCCATGTGCCAAGTGTACATTTGTTTTTGCTTATGCACCTTGTATTAGATTAATTAAATTGTCCTTTTTGCTGTAGATTATAGTGGAAATGTTATTACAGCGGACAGCATTCAGCCACTTGTTAGTAATGTTGTGGGAAAACAGATGGGAACTAGTACGGGCAGTGGGGAGGCTCAATACATGCAACAGCAGAGTCAAATTTTTGTATTTTCTACATCGTTGGCAAATAAAGCTGCAGAGGCAGTTTTGAGAGGCGAATATCCTTCGATTCTCGCTTATCATTGTGCACAACCAGGCACTAAAAAATATTTGGAGGTACTACAATATAGCGTTGAATTATTTTAATAGTACTGTAGATTTCCCCTCATACACAAATAGTTTATTATAAAAGTTTATTATAAAAGTTTAATCCTTAGTTATAAAAAATTTCACATAATTTTTTGTCAAAATAGTATGAATATGTATTATTTTGTCTTTATTTTTTTGTTTGTTTATAATTTATTGAATATGAATTATATCATTTTTTATATAAATGTTTATCATAAAACGTTTTATTTTTAATAATTTATCCTTCATATATACATCACATACTTATTATTTATTTAATTGTCATTAATGTATGTTTATTATTTCTATTCTTTTAGAAACATCCAAATAAAGTAAATCAATTTCGACAAAATCCTGCTCAATGGTTAAATAATCTTGCTATGATGAAACAGAAAGGCCATCAGGGAAATGCGAATAATACTTTCCCGACTGAACAACCCCCGGATTTACCAGCATTAGATCCAAATGCTCCACAGTTTTGGAACGAGCAACCTAACTTGCGAAACATAAACGGTGGGAACTCCCTCGGTAATTCTGAACCATCTTTGGATGATGGAAACATAGACGTGCCTTGCCTTGTGCCGAATTCACCTGGTAATTCAGGTAACTTTTATTAAATTTATTAATTATCAAATCCTTATTATCCTTGTTTATACGAGATTTAATATATATGTTTTTAATGCAGCCAATCCTCAACCTGCTAATAACGCTACCATGGGCCACAGTCCAAATTTGTTAGGTGGAACAACGAGCCCAGGTCCAGGAGGTTTACAACCATCTCTCCAAGGTGTCAAAGTTCCAGACGAAAATTTGACGCCGAAGCAAAGGCAGCACAGAGAAGTTCAATTGGCAACTTTGCGAAAAATGCAAATGATATTATTTCCCGGTCACAAAGAGGAACAATCTGGCAATACTTTAACAGATACGACGCAAGGAACGACAGTGTCGTGTCCTCCCACGAATGTTCCTCCCGTTGGTGTTCCAAATCAATGTTCTCCGTCTATGGAGTGGCATAAATTGCAATTTCTTGACGGAAAAAATAAGGTATATTTCCTTTACGTTACAAACTTAATTAAATGAATAATGCATTGGTATCAGTAAATATTAACAAACAACATCGAGTAACACAGTCAGTTTCTTGGCAAGCAGCTCTTGCAAGCAGAAGTTATCAAGATCCTGCTTGCCGAAAAACTGACTGTGTTACTCAATGTTTGTTAATTAAATGATGTTAAAAATTAAAATATTCAAAAAATATATATGTTTGCATTG